CGGCGCTCTGGGCGCACCTGCAACTTGGCGGCGGCCTTCGTGTAAGCAGGGGCCAGCGACTTGCAGTGCCCGCACCAGGGCGCAAAGAACTCCTGCAGGGGGGGTGCAGCAGAACTTCCGGTCACAGGTGCCACAGGTGCGTTACACACCGCAGAGGCGGCAGCGGCGGAGGTGCCCCGAGGCCTCGCTCTTCATCCGCGTGTTAAACGCAGGGGCCTTGAGCTGGTGTGTCTTGGGCAGTGGGCAGCATCCGCTGGCTGCCGGTTCTGCCGAGCACGCACCACGATCACCGGGACCTTGCTCCCCGTCACGGCATCGAAGCTCCTGTGGGTGAGGAGGACCACCGGACCTCCCTTCTCATACAGAGCCATCGCCCCGCCTGCCAGCAGCGCCAGCAGGAGCGCGAGGGGCAGCGGCGACCCGGCCATGGTGCGCAGCAACCAGAATTGAAACCTGGCGATATGGCTGTGGCAGGGGATGACCGACCAGCTCCGGCCTGGTGACACAGCCGATGTACAGCGCGAGTACTGCAGGCGCAGGGCATGAGCCAGTGAGGCAGTGCACGTACTAGAGCCATGGCAGGTCTTGGAAGGGCATCTTACAATAATGCAAACAAATCACTTTCAAACAAAAAACTGAGACGTCCCACATATGGCCAAGGGCGGCCACATGTATTGATACAGTATGACAAGCTCCTCCCCCAAGGGCCCCGGACTGCGGGTTTACTTAGATGACAGCTGTTTGTTATGTGTTTACTGGCAATCCGAGGCGCCCTCTGAGCTTGTGGTGCCAGCCGGGCACTGCTTGCAAGCGGTGTTGCCGCTGGTGTTGGCGTAGGTGCCACCCGTGCAGTTGGTGCACTGCGTGTTGCCATCATGCTGATTGAAAGTTCCAGGTGGGCAGGGTTGGCAGGAGGTGGAGTTGGCTTCGGTGGTGATCCAGCCCGCTGGACAGTTGGTGCAAGCCGCGTTGCCAGTGGTGTTGGTGTACGTGCCAGCGCGACAAGGCTGCACAGAGGAAGGGAGGCAGAAGAAGAGGCACAAACACATAAGGGGGGGGAGAGCAGTGCAACTGCAGTCCTTGGGTGAGCACTGGCTGATCAGGTTGGGCAGTCACTATCAGCAGCTGTGAAAGGGAGGGATTGTGACCCAGCAACAATGCAATCCTAAACTCACGTAGCAAATGACCGAGTAAAGGTAAAGGTAAAGGTGGGGAAGAGCCTCCACAAGCTTAACTTCCCGGTTTTAACGTCTAGCTTTAGACCATTATTTGATCTGCCCGACGCGCCAAGTGCAGTACCCCCCACTAGTAGTGAATGGGTCCCGGGGAGGCCTGTGCCGAAGCCTTGGCGATTCTATTAGGCGTTCCCGAAGGAATTGGCTTGGATTGGCGCTGAGCCGGTCAGCTATGCCGCGTTTGTCCTCACAAAGTTTCGACATGAGAGGAATCGAACCTGTGCCCTCTCGGAGGGTTTAGACACTAGCTCCAGCGCCTTCAAAGAAGGCCTTTCTTAGCCGCGGCCCGAGTAATCACCAAACGGCTG